GGTAAGAGAGCTAGCTCGAACACCTATTCAAGACTACGAAACCATCAATATTGGGCCTTGCTGGACGAATTATCGAGAGGTGGCCCCCTAGGAAGATCGCGACTGCATATAATCGCACGCAGAAGGCAGTTATGTTTGGGTTGGAATAATCTGGAGCATATCTCAATGAACATGTTAGAGAAAGTCGAAACAGTGCCGATATGCGTAACAGGAACTACAAGTACCAAAGACCTGGAAAATTTATGCCAATCAACGATAAGCTTGGGAATACCGTGGTAAAACTGTATGATACACGAGCCGAGCCATTTCAAAAATGTCGTCCATAATGCTACTACGCTGTTAAAAGACCAGTACAGCAGAAGCAATGTTACTTGTGATAATAAGACATAAAGTTGCAGAACGGCTAGCCCGATGATATCCTAAGTGAGTTCTGAAAAGAATGTAGAAGTTAAGTGCCTTTTTCATGCACATTTCTTCAATAAAGTCACTAAAGCTATCCGTATGCCCTTCGACTCTTCAAATAGCTTAACGATTCCGATTTAAGAATGAAGGCGATGCCGCAGACTTCCCAAAATGCCCACCTCTTCGCTGCTGAGCAACATTAAAAGGTCTTTGAAAGAATACTTAAGACACGACTGCACCGTCTTCAGTTGCCAAAAAACGCGAATTTTTTGAAGACGGCCGGCTGCACCACTCTTGCCGTGTTTATAGTGATGGAGAAATCAGTCAAAAGAAGGTTACAAGCAGTTTTCCTAATTATGAAGAAAGCCTTCAACGAGGACCCATGATAATGTGGTGAGTGTAAAAGATGATACTAATGTGAAAATGATCAACTGTGACTAGGCGGCGCGCATCAGGATCAGGAGTTGATGCTGTCTCCTCCACTTTTATCAAGACGCTGATTTCCCGATTAAGGTTCTTAATTGAAAATTCGCTATAATATAGCGGAACCTTCGTAATGCCCCTTCCTTCTGCTGCCTTATTAACCGCCTGTCTTAAAGCGATAGAAGAATATTGGGATGTACTCT